GAACTAGCAATTAAGAAGCAAGTATACATACCATGAAGCCACATGTGACCACAATCGTTGTCGAATGAAACAGAAAGTATATATGAATCGTGACTTCATATCTATATTATGTACAAATGCATTTATCAATAGAACGTTTTCTGCCTAAATTATATCTCATTTGTTAATATTGATATTCTTGTATGAAAATAAACTTGTATAAAATAAATTGCGTATATTAAAATTTCTTTAAAATTTTCGGCAACTTTTTCTTTTGCAAATAATTTTCATTTATTTTGTCGTGTAAGACTATTATTTATAACACTAAATAGTGCCTATCTTCTAGAACTTATTATATAGCTATTATATTTTATCAAATATCATGTACTTTTTTCGTCTTTCTTTTTTATTATATAAAAAAGCGTTTACCAAAGCTTTTTCAAATCATGTTAACATAGAAAGATTTTTTTTAATTTCTAAAATGTCATCTTCTTTGAGGTTTTTTAGCAAATTTATATACGTCATTAGAGCACTTAGTACAGAGTTTGCGAGTGTTTTTCTTATGTATACACAATGGATAAGGTAGAGACGATGTGTACGTCTAGGAAATGTAGAAAAGAGGTTTGTCTATTAGATTTTCTATTCGGGTTTGAGTATCTTCTTGTGTATCTTCCTTCCGTAACAATATAAAATGAAAACAACACACACGATTCGAAATGAATTGAACACTACGCCAACCATAACATTTAAACACTTGAGGTACAGTTATTTTATGACAAAGTATATTTTATCTTTAAAACAAAGTTCAAATTGAGGACATAATTTATAACTTAAATTTCAAAAAGAGTTTTTTAATCAAAAAGTGAAAATAAATTTTATCTTTCTTATTTTAGAGCAGACTTCTTGATCTACGGTTTGATGCAAAACTTTTTTATATTTATCCCTTATTTTGAAAACAGGCTATCGATTAGTAGAAATAGTACAGAGTAGAGAGATAGTCTCATTATACTAATGGCCACTCGTATTACTTTTTTCATACATTAAAAGATGAAGTTTCTAAAGAAATTTATTATGCTACGATAAAAACATCTTTCTCTTATATAAGTACCTAAATCTTTAAACCAAACATTTCTTTCTATTCTTGCCAAAGTCCACCAGAGTATAGATAATAAAATTTTATGTCTTCCTTTAAATAGTTTTTGGTCAATCATGTATAGACGCACTCTCACGTAAAATCACATCCAAATGCGTCTAAACAGTATTATTACCTGCGTACAAACGCGGTTCCATAAAAAATGCGTTAAGCAACGGCTCAGATCTCCATCTGACCGCGTCTTGATACGTTCTATCTTAAACCGCATCCAAACGCGCTTGAAAAATTTTAATAAAACGCGTTTTCATGCGGTCTCGTAAAAAATCGCGTCCAGTCGCGATTCAAAATCTCCTGCGGCCGCGTCTAGATGCTTTTTTATTTTTGGTCGCGTTCAGACGCGAATAGAAATCGATTGTAACCTCCTCCGAACGCGGTTTCATTTACAATCGCGTCTAGATGCATTTGAAAATTTTCTTCAGTTGCGTATAGACGCGACTGTAAACGAAACCGCGTTCAAAGGCGGTGAAAATCAATTTTTAGTGCGTCTGAACGCGGTCTACAATGAAACTGCGATTACACGCGTATATTCTGCGTCTGGTGTTTACATGGGCGTTTTAACTTCTAAGATGATATACTTAATAAGAAACGCGTCCTTATAAAAATGACAATAGAAATCGAGTTTGTCTGAAATCATCTAGCAAAAATTGAGATTGGAAGTAAATAAAACGAAGAATAAAAATGTGGGTATCATGATTGCAGTGAGACATGCTACAAATAACGTTCCGTATGAGAGAATAATCTTAATAGGGTATTCTAAAACATTTCACTATAACTAAAGATTTTCAATCTGATTTAGAAGTAATTGAAAATGACCGTATTCCGTGGACAATTTGCCACCGTGTCAATATCTGCTAGTAATTCTCACAATTTGGTTCCATTCGTTAATGATTAATGTGAATATTTTCCTTTAATTTATTACCAGTCATAACTTAAACGTTAAAGAATTAAATCTTCGAGAAAACTTTAAGCTTTAATATGAAAGGTCAACGAATGCTTACTTTTTCATTTCAAAAACAAAAGAATATGGATGTAACTTGATAAAGGAATCTTAAATAATTAGTAATTGTGGTTTGGTACTTGTCATGACATAAGGTTTAAATTTCAAAATTTAATTTTACACTCAGATCAAAGTAGATTTAAAAAATGTTTCATTTCCAATGCCGACCATTTGATTATGGTTGATATGTATATCAATGATTATCACAAAACATTATAGATATATAATAATAGAGACATACAATAAGAAGTTCTTTAATAATGAAAACGCTAAAATATCCCGATACGTCTCACAAGATAGGTCCAGGTTTAGGTCTGCGTGACATGTCTTAACAAAATAATAGTCATTCATCGACGTGATACTTGGTAAATTAGGTCTCTTTGTGAAGACGGATGATTTTTTTTTGTCGTACAGACTAAAGTATCAAGACGCCATCATAATTGTTATTTGCCTCGATATACTTTTGATGTGAGTTATCAAACCTTGATAGATGACACTTGTATCCGCTTGTTTAAAAGCCGCAAGCATGATTTTTTTATAATATGAAGAGTACGGATAATATGCATAGGTCAGTCAAAAAGTTCTCGAACTTTCAAATATTTATTCATAGAAAAAAACAATTTGTTTATCTTTTTTTCAGTAAATGTTCGAAGTAGTCTCCAGAATGTTCGGTACAAAGTTTCATTCCTTCAATAAACTTCTGAGATGTCTTTTCGTATTAATGAACAATTTTCGAATGTAACTCCTTGGATAAAATTTGTAGCATTTGAATATGTGCCAATGCTAGGTTTCAAACAACTAGACAACCAAAAGTCTGATGGACTAGGACCAGGCAGATATGATGGATGAGCTATAACTTTGAATTTTACTTCTCGAACTTATTTAAGATTAAGATTAAGATTTTTTATACGTGATTTTGCATTGTGAAGATGCAAATTTCATGCCATGTTTTTTAATGATAATCTTTTTTTGTGTAAATTTTTGACTAATCTGTTTCAACATTTATCACGCTAATACATGTAATAGACTATGCTTGAGAGGTAGCAACATAATCAACACTAAGATGTGGACCATCAATCTTCAGGTCCTGGATAGCATCAATATTTTGTTGAGTATTGACGGATAACGGCTACTATTTCGAGGATCATCTTTCAACGGCTCTCGTCTATTTGAAAATCGATAAATCCAATGAGTGACTGTACTATATGAAACAACACCTGGTCTATAGCCAGCAGTTAATTCATTATGAACTTGTGTAGCAGTTAAACCTAATAACCAACGAGTTTTTATATATGAGTATATACGAAGTTTATCCATCTGAAAACAGGGCTGTTGAAAAAATTCACTAAAGAATTACTATAATGGACACTTGTGAAACTTCGTATTGGTATTTTAATAGATAACAGATGCCACTATTAGAATAGGTCAACATGAGGAATAAAACTAATTAGGATGAAATTTTAGAAGACTATTACAAGAACTTTTTGATGACTCTATGTAAATAGAATATTCTGGTTTTTAAAATTAAAACTAGTAGAAAAACAGCATTCAAATCAAGTCAAGCTCTCAATAATAATAAAAATTTCTAGAAGACAAATGAATTATTTGCTCGAAAATAAATTCTATTGAACTGACGATTCATTCACAGAACAATTGATTTTATACGGAATTGAACAGAGTCACTAAGGTATAACTGTCACAAACAGTAATGATCAAGAAAATTGAAGAGATTTAGCCATCGAACTACAAACAGTTCGATCATGTTGTGTTATCTGAGAAGATTCCTCACTATTCGATTCAGAGTTTTCAACTTTTGATAAGTTTGACATTCATATCAAATGCATCTAATGGCAAATTAACACAACCGAAAATTGACAGGACATATCAGATAAAGCCAATTTGATCAGGCATTCTAGGCACAATAGTAACAGTTTTGAGATTCACTAATGGATGACCAAACAGAAAAAGAAGAGTAATGTAATCATCCATATCGAATACCATTTGTAAGAGACCATTGCATAAGAAACGTTCGGAGCTCAGACTTTTCATATTCAATGAACTTATCGTGTTTATGGCATTCCAGTTAAATGGAGTTACCATGTATGAGCTTAATTTATTGTTGTCAAAAAAATTAAAATATCAAATAAAGTTACTGTGAATAATCAAATCTGACTGACAGAAGCTAAACAAGACAATGTACGATTTAGTATATCCAATGGTTTTTAAATCAATGCTAGCACATCAAGAGAAAGCTTTTAAATAGTCAAAGACTCTTCGTCTCTGAGTCAGTGTTGTATGATTACTCAATGAACAATGTCATAAAATTTCATTTCAGAAGTCACAAATGTTTTTCTTTCTTTGTGGGGTGTGAGTGTGTGTATTGTCTTCACACGCCGTACACCCGCACCCACATCCTACTTTCATTTTTGTTTTCGTCTCTTTCAGAAAGTGTTGGCTGCATAAAATTCGATACTTTCTATTATTTTCCTACAAATTTACTAAATCTACAAAATATACAGAAAACAAGTCATCAGGCCTATCATGATAAAATCTTGGCACCATTCAGTTGCACAACGACCTAGGTGAAGTGTCTTGCGTATGCTTTTGATGGAATCTCTCAGAAAGAGAACAAATTTCTTCGCAAGCACACCGCGTTATTTTGATAAGCAAAAAAAGGATATTTTTGCTCATCAAATTATTTAGGTACTTTTAATCACCCACACCCACACCCTCACAAATTGTATTTGCATTTGCGCAACTCTGAATTGATAACCTGTCATGTTTCATAATATTCGAAATCTATTTAGCCTTTTTATTTTGAAAAAGACGCGCATTTATGAATATTAATTTCTGTTTCTTAATCTAAAACAAATGCCTCTAAATCTAAGTTGTTTAAATTCGTATTCATTCACTCCATCGATTCCTTTACTTTCTAATGTATTCAATAATTTTAATCATTCAACATATAAATCAAATGAAAATAGTCTGATTCAAAAATTGTCTTCATCAATAATAAATTCAAAATTTTCTTTACATGATATTGAATTATTATTTAACATTTTTTCAAAAAAAAATCAACATTCTTTAAATATATTCATACTTTTAAAAACGAAATTAATTTCATCAATTTTTATTTATACAATTATAATTCTTATTCTTTTTTTACTATTTTCTATAATTTTTTATATTATATCATATATAAAATTTAAAAAATTCAAAATTAATTATAAAAATATTTTCTTAATTATATTAATTATTCTTAATCATGTTCTATTTATATATAAGATAGTTATTATCAATAATGTACATAAAACTAAAGATTCTCTTAATAAATCATTATATGAAATAAATAGAGAAATTTATCCAAAAAGTTTTATCAAACATTTACATCATTTAATAAAACAATTAACACAATTTGATGAATATTCAATTAAATGTAAATTGGTGTTTTTTTTTTCAACTTTGAATTTCTTTTTAAAATCTTTATTTTATTTTTTAAGCAAATTCAATTGTTGTTCTTGGATTAAAATCAATTATGATAGAAGCATTTAATCGTTTATTAAAAGAAAATTATTTTATTGAAGATTTATTTCATTATTTTAATAATATTGATAATAATTATTATCAATTGAGAGATTCAATTATGAATGAAACAATATTAACTATTCTGTTTGATCAATTTACAATATCATATAAAAATATGACCAATGATTTAATTAATTTCAATAAAAAACTTTGTTATTATTTTGATAACTATAAATCTGATTTTAATAAACAAATATTGAAAAATTTAAATATTTTTCATGAAAAAATTCAATTTTTTATTCAATTTATTGAAAAACAAATTATCAATAAAATTAATGCAAATTTCTTAGATCAAAAACAAGAAGATAAAATTCATAGATATATTGCATTAATTGCATATTTAATTACTTTTATTATTGTTTGTATTACAATTATTCCATTGATTTTCATTAGTATTAAAATCTTTTTACAATGGAAAAATGAACAGTAAATCAATGAGTTATTTTCTTCTTTTTTTTTTTTATAAAATAAACATTTTCATTTCTATAGAAATATTCAACGTAATGTTGATAAAGTCGATTCTTCACTTATTCAAAACGATAATCGACAACATTATCCAATGAATGTGATGAGGTAAATCATATAAAAAAAAGCCCTATTAGCCCAATCGCTTCCTGGATTAAAACGTCAAACAAGACTGATCTATATGTATTGTAAACCAAGGATGTTACAATGAGTTAGAAAAGGAAACCAAAGACAGATGTCTGAAATTCAATCTTCTTTCATAATAATTTGACAGAAGGCTATAGTTCTGTGGCTAAGTCTATCATAGACTGGGAGGGAAGGTAAGTACAGATTTTTACTTGTGTACTTCAATACATCTTTTAGATTGTGTTTGACAAAATACAATTTTATAAATTTGACTTTTTTTTTTGATGACATAATTTCTTAATATAGTTCCATTCAGAATTAAAATATAGAAATCACAAAATTTGATTACTATAAAGTTAGATCGTTAAAAAATGATGTAGTTTTTCTAAACTGAGAGTGTACTATATCAACATAATTTATATTAGTTACTATTTAAATTATAGTATAAAGTAATTTTTTTAGACAAATTAGTTACAGGTTTTTGATAATTTTTACTTTTAATCATATGATATTTGCATATAATGATCATTTTTCTGGTACATTTCATTTTCCTCCTCTGAATGACTTCTTCATTATAGTGTTGACCTTGACGATGTGTGTTTCTCTTTCTCTGTCCTTTTGTGTAAATCTATATAGGAGGAGGATGTTTGTATTTAAGTCCAAATCATCAAATATAGTTCCAATAAATCTGATACATTGATTGTATTCTGTTTTCCTTGCTTTCTCTTGAAACTTAAACCACAAATGAAAGCTAGATCGATCTTTCATTTTCGCTTTAGTTTTTAGGATCGAGGGATCCAATCATACTCATTAACTTTTGATCATAATTACTAGTGTCTTCGATTATTAGAGGCTCTTACTAGTTGCTCGTTAGTTTTTAAACTTGTGAGAAGCTGAACAACTTCGACTACTTATTTTCTGTGAAAAAATCGATGTGAATTTCATTAAAACATTACTATTCAAATAAATTCTATACTCTAATAAATAATAGAAGATTGAACAGACAATGGATTATTGATTCTATCTGCTCACATTTAGTTTTATCGACAAAACAGTCAAATATAATTTTATTAATCATTGGTGTAAACATAGAATATAATGGTTTGTTATTGTTATATCTCTTTATGAAAGGTTTTATGACCATAGTTACATTTATTAATATACATTAGATTTGTTTTGATAAGAATCTGCTTATATTTTGATTTTTATAACTGGACGATAGTACATTTAATACTGTATTTATTTTACAACATTTCTGATATCTGATATTATATAAGTCGCGATTCAAATCAAAGCAAATATTTCAGTTGAATTTTAACTTTGAAACTAATTGCCCACAAAACAAATGTCATCATTTTTTTTTATTGTTTGTCAAATAAAAAATTTTAAAATTCGATATTAATTTTACATTGAATAAAATTTTATTTGATCATTATTACTCTTTTATTATAGCAAGAATACAGTATCTAATCAAAATCAATCGGATGAAATAGAAAATAATATGAGAAGTATAAATAATAAATATTCTAATTCATTATCTGATATTGATCAAATCGAAAATAATAAATTTGAAGATCATGATAGTTCTCGTTTATTTCTTTTTTCAATACGTATTGTTTTTATTTTTATACTCATATTAGTAATTTTTCTATTACTTATTACTGGATTTTTATATGGCCTTGATTTATTATTACATGGTTCTTGTCGATTAGTACATTATAATCAACCATTTCTTATTTCATTTACAATAAGTAAATAAACAAAATACAATAAAAAATTTAAGATCTAGAAATTTCTCTATTATTAGATAATTTTCTAAATCAGATGAATAATTTTGATATAAATATAACAATTTTAAATATAATTAATGATTGTAATAATAATATTCATTTTAGTAAAATTTTATTTAAAAATGCTTCTATTCAATTAAATGATCAATTGAGTTCTACAATAAAAGATTTTAATCAAGAAATTTTTCAACAATTTTTAAATGTTAATAATAAGATTAATATAACATCAGATCTTGATTTACTTATTAATTTAGCTAACTTAAACAGTCTAAATAATATTGCAAATTATCTTAAATATATTAAAAATGATTTTGAACAAATTGACCAAATATTTAAACAAATTCTTACACCTAATTCAGCATTACTAGGAAATTTTACTAAAGAAATATTCCACGAAGTACGAACATATGTGTTAAAAATTTAATGATTTTTATTTTTTTTTTAGTTTGAAAAATTTGTCATCGAAGTGACTCAATCAACTATTGATCCATGTCCATTACCAATAGACATTATACTAAAAATGGATCAGTTGATTTGTCATCATACAGCAAAGATAATAAATGGTGTATGGCTCGAAATATTTTTATTTATGTTTTTTATTGTATTTGGTCTTTATATTTTTGGTATATACGTTTATAAACAATTTGATTAATGTCATTTTTGTCATATACAGTTTTTCAAAATAAATAGATTCTTCAAAATGCACAGGCAATGTGCCAGCGTAGCAAGGGACAGCGGATGTAGGCGTGTGAGTGTACGTTAAGATCAGAGCAACACTGCAAAAACATCCACCCCTTGCTATAGGTAATTATCAATAATCTCACTGATCTATGAATACTTGAATAGTTAAATACTTGAATAGATGAATACCTGAATAGTTGAATACTTGAATAGCTAAATACTTGAATAGTTGAATACCTGAATACCTGAATTCAAGTTTCAAGTATTATATATATGAAGAATTGAGGAAGAAGTAAACACATGAAATACAAAGAACAGATATATTTTCGCAAACTGCTTTGTCCAAATGTCAAGATATTAACTACATTGCCAAATTACCGGAAACTAAAAGATATTGATCATTTTCTTTACTTTGAAGAGACAGTCGTAGTCCCAACGGACTACATGCATCAAAAGAAATTAATTAAATTCTGCTCATCAATTCATGTTGGCTCGGTACGTTTGTGTTCAGCTATAAAGTATAATTATCTCTTTCAAAACGAGATGCAACAGTAGGGACTAGTGATGTTGACAGCATTTATCTATGATTTCTTTCTCTATATATAACACTAATATTAATTTGGCTGCTACAGCTATCTCATAACGATAAATGAGAAGTGATATAGATGAAATATGAGATAAAACAGATTCGTTACGTCTCCACTTCTCTCTATATGTAACACTAATGTTGATTTGGATGCCACAGCTGTCTTCCAACGATGAGTGATAAGTGATGTAGATGAAGTTGGAAAGAAAGCACATTCACTGCGTCTCCACTTCTCTCTTTCAGTCAAAAAATAAATGTGTATCCAGGCCAAACAAGCACGGTCGTTAACGATCGTATATGGAGAAATACGTTGATTTATGGAGAAAAAACAGTTATTTACTGTCTTCGTATACGGAGGCCGTATACGATCTCTGTTTTTCTCCGTATACGGTCACAGAGAGATACGATTGTAATACGGGACCATGTAATACGCCATAATACGGTCGTATACGAAGAAATACGGAGGTTATACGGTCATTTTCGTACGTATACAGGCTCCGTATTTGTCGATCTGAGTGCGTTTCACGAGATATACCCAGGTCCAGTGTTACGGACTCCGTATACGGTCGTAAACGATCGTATACGACCGTTTACATGCCATATACGCTCCGTATACGATCGTATGTGGCCGTAATACATGTGATCGTATTACGATCGTATATCTCCGTGGTCGTATACGGAGATCGTATACGGAGCGTTTATGGTCGTAAACGACCGTATTATCCCCGTATGCGATCGTAAACGATCGCATTTTGTCGTCTATATAGAATGATTTCAGTACATAACATTGATCGGTACTATATTCACTGAGACATACACCTACCTATCTACCTACCTACCTATATATCTATCTAACTATCTATCTAACTATCTACCTACCTACCTATATATCTATCTA